CAGGGCATAAGCCAGAAACCTGTGGCACACAAAGTGATTTTAAATGGTATGAGGCATGTTTTGGACCCTTAGCACATAAATTGCCTCTAAATACGATTGAAAATTAAATGTTGTTGTCAAGTATAGTCTGCCATGCCATCAACAGAAACATCTCGCTAAAATTAATGCACGTGGTTCTGCTGCAAACCTTAAAAATTTTGATGGCCTCTAACAATTTGAGGTGTTCCAAGTGTGGGGTGGTAAGGATAATTCTGGCTCTGGAGAAGTCTGTCGTAATATCCAGGTCTGTCGCATAAGTGGAGTGTGTGGTGGATATAAATAAACATCTCCAAACCCGATATCCAATATAGTAAGACACCAACCGAATGCCGTAAATTAATCGGGCTATTTTAATGCTAAATTCTAAATAAATTACGTAATTAATTTGGCACTAGAGGTAAGCGTTAGGCGCCATCTCTTATTAAAATTAATAATTATAAATATATTAATTAATTTAAATAATTTGGAACCGCTGGGAGAAAAAAATCGGCCCGGAGCGGGACTCGAACCCAAATTAATTACGTAATTTATTTAGAATTTAGCATTAAAAATAGCCCGATTAATTTACGGCATTCGGTTGGTGTCTTATTAATAAATTAATTCAAATAAGTTATAATTTAGAGATTTCAATATCTTCAACTAGATTTGCACTTCTGGCAACACCAACAGAAACCTATATTATCACAGTCTGTATGGCATTCGCACTCATCTGCATTTTCACTGCAATCCTTTGTCGCTCAAATGTTGGCCAAGATTCAACGTTTATTTGCCATTGTACATGGGTTGATAGATAAGTTTGGTAAATTTTAATGAATTGGCACCATAATTCATTTGGTGACATCACAGCTTGTGATAAAACATTTTTATTTAAAGAAGTAAACAGCCAGATCAAAATGGAGTTGATGAAGTTCATGGAGACTATGAAACAGAATTGACAACAGAACTCATTTATCCAAAAATAAACAAACACGGGCAAACATGCACTGAAGACACAGTGTGCTCTGGATGTCCAGTTTAGGTAACCACAACATAAATAATTGAAAAAGTTCATAGTACTGCGAGATTCTGGGCCAATTAATTAGTTTAATTAAAGGAAAAAAATTAATATGTAGTTAAATTTGTGAAGTCGAAAAACCCACTTTCTTTTTCCCACCACCTAACCTTTCTGCTGACCGATAGATAAAGACGATCAAATAACTGTATAAATCGACAAATTTAACGATCTTTTGACTAAGTGTCGAGTAAAGCTAAACACATGGTTATTAATGAGGAGAAATGTCAAAATAAGTTTAAATTATGAGGTAAGAAGAGTCAAAACACCTCAATGGTGATGTCTAAGAACTTTGAATTTGTTGCCTTGTATGGTAAAAAGAGTAAGAATACCTGGCAAAGAAATTATCAACAATTCATCAAAGTTGATGTGCTTACAACCTGTACCAACCAGAGAAATGGCACAGTGCAAACTTAGATTGCAATAAATTCAGTCACTTGATTTTTCTCCCACATTCAAGGGAGGATGAAAGGGGTTGGAACCCGATCGTTGGGGCAGACATCAAAAGATCATAGGAGAAGCTCTGCTCGCCCATTCCTGCCACACAAAGAAAGTAGACGACATAGTCAACCTCTCCAAAATATTACAGTCGACCCCCGTATAAGATCATTGATTATTCCGTTTTATATGAATTCCATGTTGTACGAGTCACTTAAATTTTACAAATACGTGAGCCGTTCACAGCCCGGTACACATATTTGTAAAATTAAAGTGACTCGTACAACATGGAATTCATATAAAACGGAATAATCAATGATCTTATACGGGGGTCGACTGTAATATTTTGGAGAGGTTGACTATGTCGTCTACTTTCTTTGTGTGGCAGGAATGGGCGAGCAGAGCTTCTCCTATGATCTTTTGATGTCTGCTCCAACGATCGGGTTCCAACCCCTTTCATCCTCCCTTGAATGTGGGAGAAAAATCAAGTGACTGAATTTATTGCAATCTAAGTTTGCACTGTGCCATTTCTCTGGTTGGTACAGGTTGTAAGCACATCAACTTTGATGAATTGTTGATAATTTCTTTGCCAGGTATTCTTACTCTTTTTACCATACAAGGCAACAAATTCAAAGTTCTTAGACATCACCATTGAGGTGTTTTGACTCTTCTTACCTCATAATTTAAACTTATTTTGACATTTCTCCTCATTAATAACCATGTGTTTAGCTTTACTCGACACTTAGTCAAAAGATCGTTAAATTTGTCGATTTATACAGTTATTTGATCGTCTTTATCTATCGGTCAGCAGAAAGGTTAGGTGGTGGGAAAAAGAAAGTGGGTTTTTCGACTTCACAAATTTAACTACATATTAATTTTTTTCCTTTAATTAAACTAATTAATTGGCCCAGAATCTCGCAGTACTATGAACTTTTTCAATTATTTATGTTGTGGTTACCTAAACTGGACATCCAGAGCACACTGTGTCTTCAGTGCATGTTTGCCCGTGTTTGTTTATTTTTGGATAAATGAGTTCTGTTGTCAATTCTGTTTCATAGTCTCCATGAACTTCATCAACTCCATTTTGATCTGGCTGTTTACTTCTTTAAATAAAAATGTTTTATCACAAGCTGTGATGTCACCAAATGAATTATGGTGCCATTTCATTAAAATTTACCAAACTTATCTATCAACCCATGTACAATGGCAAATAAACGTTGAATCTTGGCCAACATTTGAGCGACAAAGGATTGCAGTGAAAATGCAGACGAGTGCGAATGCCATACAGACTGTGATAATATAGGTTTCTGTTGGTGTTGCCAGAAGTGCAAATCTAGTTGAAGATATTGAAATCTCTAAATTATAACTTATTTGAATTAATTTATTAAGTTAAATGAACTTAAAATTTATTTACAAAAATAAATCAATGATCGAAATGATCTTCAACAAAGAGAACAAAACAAAAAGAAATCCCTAATTTTTTTCTATTGAAGATTGTTTGAAAAAATAGAAAATATTTTCTGGCATCAATAGTAAAAAAACGAGCTAAACCTGGCATCATTGCACCACCAATATGCAAACTAGAACATGCATGTTTGCATGGGACCACATCCATTTAAAGGGGGTGGCAGTGTGATTGTGATTAAACTGAGTATGGTAGATTGGTCTGCTAAAACCAATGTTTGAATTGCTCTACAATTGGGGATCGAACCTCTCTCAGCTTTTTTGGAGAAAATTATTCTACTCAAAATAGAATATTTATTATGGTATCACTTTGCTTTTCACTTTTTGGTATGAGTAATAAAATTATTATTGGAATTAGGTTATTTTGTGGGGCTTGTGAAGGTTATTTACAGTTCGGTTTAATGAATCCTGATAAAATTTTTGTTTGCTTTGTCACATAAAAATGAACATTGTGGAAGTTTAACATTACTGAATTTTCTTGAATTTTGCTGTTGTCCTGGCAAAATCTGCTTTAATGCAAGAATTCTTTGTCAGTGTTTGTTCTAAGGCAAGTTTACTGTATATAAAAAGTAATAATAATAATAATAATAGACCATTAATGTAGCTCTTTATTCATTAAATCATTTTATTAAACAGTTGTTTTGAAGTTTTACTCATTATTTACTGTTTTGTATGAAGGACCTGGCAAATAATATAAGAATAAAATCTCAAAACAATTAAGAATGTAAACTGTACATTACATTTACATTTAAAATATAATTCTGTCATTCAAATAATTATGTATCAACAATCTTTTTGGATTTGGTCACTAAAAACTAAAAGATATTCAGAAAGACATTATCAAGCGATGACTATTATTTTCATATATTTCTGTACATATTCAATTTTCATTTTGATTAAGATGTTGATAGTTGTCTTATGATTGAGTACGGGTTCAATAATTGCATATGAGAAATGAAAGATATTTAGCAATCAGATTATTATTTATGTTTCTTTCTCTCTCGTTTAGAATAATATAATGATCAGAATTTCACATTTAGAGTGAACTTTTGTATAATGAATGTTTATTTTTAGGATATGTCTATTCCATCGCTATCACCTACTCCAGATTCAAATGTGGTCGAGGTCATTCCTCAGATAAACACTTGCGAATCGGATACTGATTTATTGGAAGAGAAGAGGAAAGTGGCCGAGAAAAATGAGGAAAACATAAGAGTTAGTATGGAAGTCCAGAATAGGATAAAAAATAATGAAAATTCCGTGACTGAAAACTCCATAAAAGAGCCAGAATTAAAGTATAATTATTCAGAAGGTAAAGCTCTAGTTTTTTTTCCCAGCTCCTTTGTATAAAAAGTACATTAAAAACTGCATGAAATACATGTAAACATATTATGTAAATTGATTTTAATCAATCAAATTCACATTAATAAAAATATAATTAAATATTAATGGTAGACGATGATAATTTCCTACTTTTAAATGTATACATTTTTCTTTTCTTCATTAAATGATGATGATAACTTTAAAATTTAGAAATTTCTCAAAATAAAATGAGGATTTTTAATTTCCTGTTGTTTACCTTGACAGTCACACTTGTACAAAAGGATTAATAGTTTTTATATTTATGTTAATGATATTTGCTTAATTTAATAACATGAAAACTTATTGAATTATTTTACTTGTACTTGTAATTATTAATAAAGGTTTTTAATTTAATCAGATCAATGGAGTCCTATTAACCCCGAAGGTAAAAAGATATACGATAGGGCTTTCCTATTAAAATTGCAAGGAGAACCGCTCTGTTTGCAGAAACCGCGAAATCTTCCATCGGTGGAAATAGTTAAAGAAAAGGTAAGATGTCATCTCTTGTTTATTCAGTGAAAACTTTCTAATTGAATGCAGCAAGCATTCCAAATTTAATAGCAATGTTCAGGATTGGTAAGAACATACCAGAAAATATTTGATAGGTTTAGTATTTTCATAATTACTTCAATCAACTTTGTAAGAAGTGTCTCATTTTTAATTGCGTGCGCGCGCATGTATGTATATATAATTAAGAGGTAAATATCTTTAGCTTCTAGTTAACTACACTTCTTTTATCAATGCATGATTTATGGTTATAAAAATTGCAGTTGGTTGAATAATTTTTAACTGAATTTATTTATTATTTAACACCCCTTTCACTAGTGCCATTAATAAGCCCTTAGTGAACCCATTTTAAATTTAATATATTGCAATATTAATTTCATTTGTTACTTGTATATTTTGGGTTTCTTTGAGATTTTTGTCCTTATTAAACTAAATGCAGTTGTTTAATGTAGGATGGCCCGAACGTTGGCGAGCCGAAATGCATTTTTAGATTGGTCAAAACCAGTAAAGTTTACGTACAATAGTCACTAATATTAGAAGATCTGTGTAAAATTTTATATTACTGTAGTCGGCTCATTGATTCTTAACATTTAAATTACAAGTGCTAAAGGTATATTATTACAGAAAATGCTTTAAAAAAATATTGGTTATAAATAAGTGACAGGACAGTGAACTTCATAGAAATGTTTTCTTCTATATTTATATTTAAAAAAGAACTTATTATTATTTGTTACTTTGAATTTATTCTTAACTGTCAGTTATTTTTTAAAAATATTTTACACAGATTATTTTATTTTTATCTTGCATATTATTCATTCTTTTGTATCATGAATAATAAAATCATTGTGTNGATAAAAAATAATGAAAATTCCGTGACTGAAAACTCCATAAAAGAGCCAGAATTAAAGTATAATTATTCAGAAGATCAATGGAGTCCTATTAACCCCGAAGGTAAAAAGATATACGATCGGGCTTTCCTATTAAAATATCAAGGAGAACCACTCTGTTTGCAGAAACCGCGAAACCTTCCGTCGGTGGAAATAGTTAAAGAAAAGGCGCATCTCCAGAAATTACCGGACGATAATCGACCTGCATCCGCTCCTGTGCCGCCACAAAATTATTCGGATCCCTTCATGCCGAATTTCGCTAGCAGGCAGTCGCGCCCGGTAAGCATCTTTACATGTGAGATAGATAAAATTCAAAATTAATTTATGTAGATAAGGAAATTTTTATTATCACCATCAATTACATAAATACTTTATTGCTCTAGTCGATTAAAAATTTAATTAAATATGTAAATTAATTTATTTTAAGCAATTTGGTTTGGTTAGTCTTTCATTTATATCCACTAACTGTAAAAATCATTCTTATAAAACTCATAATAGGAATAATTTGAAGTATTTCAAATTAAAATTGAGATAAAATATAAAAATAATATGAATAAGACTCTCATAAGTTTTTGAAAGATGACTTGCATAAAATTTTAACTCTGAGGGCATTGAGAGCATTTTTTTAAGTGCTGCGAGCTCAGTCTTTCCTTTTGTACGGGAAATCGAGTGACAAGGGATTACATATTTGGGCCAGATTAGTGCAGTCCGTGAAAATCTCAAACATCTGACTCGACTCAATCTGGCTTTCGTATGCTAGACAGACGCTGCATCAGCATCAGTCTGTCGGAAAAGATGTATTGCTTTAGGTAGAGACATACTCGAGTAAATTGGAATTATTCCAGAGCGAGTACAGTTAGCTAAAATTTATTTATCCATTGTTCCTGAATCAATAAAAAGAAGTATATGATATCGATATTATTTATTCAAGAAAATATTAACTAAGAATTCACGAAATTAACAAGAGATTATTATTATTAATAGCAAATTTATGTTTGCTTGACTTGCTTAAACTCGCTTGTTTGTATGCCCATATGAAATATTCTTTATATTCAGATGAAAAGTAAATGCTGTACTTAGTTATCTTATATTTATTTGAAAAGCAAACATCTTCAGCCAAATGAGTTACGGAATAAAGAAATTACTTAAGTTAACATGAAGAAAAAGTATAAAAATAGAACCACACGATGATGAAAAATAAAAGAATTAATAAAACAACTGAATGGGAATAGTTAAGAAAATGTAGAGAATAAGAATGAGGTTAGGGCTTCAATTTGGTTTGCTTGAAACAATTCAGGTCGTCATTCAAATTAACATTTATTATTTTTAATATCCTCATTTGATTAATAAGAACACCAAAATGTCGAACATTACATAAAATACTCGTGTTTGAAAAGCTTTTTTGTTTCCGAGTAGAAAAACTAGCATAACATAATGAATAGTTGGCAATTTATCAATATGTATAAATTACGTAACCCGTTAACCCAATTTTCGCCAAAAAATAAAAATTTTCTGGGAAACTTTAATTATTTAAACTAAATTTTTATTAATTAGTTTCTCTTCTAATCTTAGATCATCTTGGCAGGTATTTAACCTAAATTGTTCTAAAATAATGTGTTGTTTATATTTATTTTAATTACAGATCGGAGTGTCACTTCTCTTGTAATTAAATAACATATTCATAGTAGTGGTGTATTTAAATTTCCTTTGTAATTTATCAATTTAATGGTAAATTAAATATTTGCAAAAGCGATAATTAATTTTCCAGGTGTGTTTTTTTTTTTAATGAATGATCATTGAGAATTTAGCTCGGAGCAGAGAATGAGAGGAATGAGGAAAATTGCTTTTCTTACATTGAATCTCATCTGTCCGACGGTTAATATGTTGTTATTTGATCTATTAAATTAGACTGAAAAATTTCAAGCAATGAATTTTACATTAATATGTTAGGCTTGACGAATACTCTTGTATATGGTAAGGTACATACGCGAAATACATTGATCATCATATGGCTGTTCTGGTGAGAAATGGTCTTCCTGAAAGTTTCATTCTGATTACTATCACACACATCTTCACTTTAACTTCAAATTTTCAATGAATTTAACAGAAATTTGATATTTAACAAGATATTTCCAACCTAAATGTGCAGCAAGAAACTGGTGTGATTTTAATTTTTCGAACAAAATTTAGAGTAATTTTTCATTTTAATTTCTGTATATAAATTCTAACTGAGAACCTTTTGACATTTTGTTAGTCAAAATTAGCCATTGATGCTTAAACACTTCCTGTTGATTACTAATTGACTTCCCAATAGTGATTATGATTAACACAGACTACATTTTTGATTTGAAAACATTTTAATTTAATTTTTTCCACCTCTTTCCACCTAGTTAATTCTTGAAATTTTAATAGATTTCTGACAATCAAGTTACACAGCAAAAAGAATATTTAAATTGTAGATTGTGTTTATTACAACTTTAATAGTTTTATTTAGTTAATCACTGTTAATAGCATTTTATTGTCACTATTTATTATACATTAAAATTCTTTTGTTAGCCTTCTGGAGGAATTGGAAGAAGACAGAGTCAACAAGGTCGTGATAAACCTAAAAAGATAATTACCATTTCAAGTTCTTTCAATCAAGATGTCAAATTACACGAATGTGGAAATGCCTGGAAGCCACATGTTAAAAAGGAGATTGATGATGAGGATGCTGACAGACAGAAAACTCAAGTAAATAATTTAGTGTTTGTTTTTTTGGTTTGAAGTGAGTGTGTGTGTTTGTGTGTGTACATACACATACACCTGGATTCACCTAATTTGGTGGAAACTCTGGAACATTCACCTAATTTGATATTCATTATTTTCAGTTATTTGACTATTTTGATGTGAAAAGAGATATAAGAAAAAAGATATAAAGATAAATTGCTTATATACAATTAATATTGAGTAATCAAAATAATTTAAGTGAAATTTCTTATATTAAAGTTTTCAGATTCATACATAAAAACTTGAAATATTTGTATATAAAACAATACAGAAAATTTGTGGCGTAGTAAACACTAGTATTGTGTTTTATTTCAAAGACACATGGCAAATTTGTCCATCAAATTCCTTTATTAGTTGAGTTGATTTTGTTTGAGTCTTGCCGTTTCTAGTTTCTGTAGATTTGACAGAAACTAGAAACGGCAAGACTCATCAAACAAAATCAACTCAATAAAGGAATTTGATAGAAAAATTTGCCATGTGTCTTTGAAATAAAACACAATACTAGTGTTTACTACGCCACAAATATAAAACAGGACACGGTTTCAAAAAGAAAAATACAGAAAATGTTTAGCATCCCTTTTGTCCTTTTTATGTTATAAGAACAACAGTCATGCAGCTTACCTTTTAAGAATATCTCAGATGCTGCTGTGCCTCCTGTTTCTATGAAGAGGATGAAAGGGATGACACTACACATTTTTGCATTGGCTTTGTTAATATTTCAAATTTTTTTGTCTGAATTTTTCTTTTGTATGAAAGACAAAATGTTCAAATAGATTGTTTTTAATTCTGAAATAAATGAGGGTTTTGTTATGAGAAATTTATTAAGAAATGATTAACCAAATTCTTATAAGTTTTTAATTTTTTAAACAGGAATTAGAGAAGAAACTAAGAGGAATTTTAAATAAGTTAACTCCACAAAAATTCCAGACATTAGTAGAACAAGTGAAGCAATTACCAATAGATAATGAAGAAAGACTGAAATGTGTCATTAATCTTATTTTTGAGAAGGCAATTGATGAGCCAAATTTTAGTGTTCCTTATGCAAATATGTGTAAACATATTGCAATGGTAAGAATTAATTTTTTAATGTTTGTGAAGAGAATCATTCTAAATCATTTAGAAATAAATAGTTTTCTACTATGTAAATTTAATGTGGATAGGTATAGTTTTCTTCATACAAATTAAAATTTTTGAATTTATTAACAGAAATATGTATTTATAAGAAGTTAAGTTTAACAATTCAATTAAAGGAGTTTAAAAATGATGCTATAAAATTAATGTATTACACATTTTACATTAAAAATACTTTGGAACTCCCAATTAACTGAGTTAATATTATTTTCTGCTTTATTGATATGTATATTATAATTACTCCTGTTAGAATTTTTAAAAAGTCAATTGTATTTATCTTTTTATTAATAAATTGTTTGAAATTTTAGTCGAAACTCAATGTAAATACTGGCAATGAGAAATCTACAAACTTCAGGAAAGCTTTGCTGACTAAATGTCAGGCCGAATTTGAGAAAGATAATAACGACGAAATTAATTACAAGAATAGACTTCAGCTGATTGAAAATGCAGAAACTGTAAGTAACTATTTACCTAATGATACATATATAACCATACAAGTTTTTTAATGTGAAGTTGTTTTAAGTTTGTAATGTCTATGTTAAGTTGAATATGAAGATAAACGAAACACATTAACTACAGAATCCTGCACAGTGATTTGTTCAAATGCATACAACTTCAAGCAATAGGTTATTGAAAATTTTATATATTCAAGAAAGAAAAAAATTATATGAATATTACTATCCAGATACCCTTTTTTTTATTAAATTTAAATCATTCCATTTCAAATTATTATGTAAAAATACTACTACTGACTCAATATATCAGTTTTTTAATCAATAAAAAATATGAAGAAAGCTCACTTTATTTTTTAATAAATTGCAATTTTCAGATATTTTCAATTATATAATTTCTAGTATTTTATTCAATTGTAAATAATGGAATTCTGATCTTTCAGGAGGAAAAGAAGAAACAGCTTAGAGAAGAGCTGGAAGAGGAGGAAAGAAAATCGAGGCATCGATCGCTGGGAAACATAAAGTAATTTTTATACATTTGTTAATATTTTGTCACTCGTAATAGAGTAGTTAATGAAAATTACATTTCATGATAATCCTTTTTACACTGACTTCTATAATTATGCTCGTACAGAGGAAGCTTAGTGCAGTCATGAGTATAAATATATTTGTATAAACCATGTTATAAATTTGAAAATATGTAAACTTTGTCTCATATTAATTTATTAACAAACTATGTCAGAGTACACTTAGTAATCTTAAGTTAACCAAATTAAATAATTAATGATTAAAATTTCAAAGAATTTTTAAGTTTTACACACTGGATACATCAGTATGTTCAAAATTGTTTGGTCCAGATATATTGTAATCTATATTCTGTTTAGAAAAATTAGATTTTGCTGTAGTAAATTGTGTTGTTTTAAGCATAAGAATTGTTTATACTTTATTTTCTCAGGAAAAAATCATATTTTCTCTATGTTCAAGAAGTCTCACATAATTATGGAAATTGAAAACTGATGTTTGAAATAAGAAATGTTATCAATGTGAATATTTTACTGTTAGCAAAGAGTAGTTGAAATGTTTTAACTTTTCACTTTTAACTTATAATCATTAGTTAAAAGTGATAATGATTGCACTTTGTTATCCAAATGTTGATGCTTAGTAGAAAAAAAAGTTTTTTTTCTAATTACCATGAAGATTGTGATAACAATAACTGAACTCTTGATAAGTTTCTACTTTTCATAATATTAGTGACTAATAGCCATACTGATGATTACAGTAAGTAGAGTTTACTGTGTTTATTTTTCTTAATTAAAGAATATTACGTATTTTATTGTGTTCCATAGTGGCTGTATCAATCTTATTTAATCTGTCATGATAATTACTAGTTAAATATTTTCGGAAAATTTTTTTTTATTACTAAATAGAAATGGCAAAACATCTTTATATATAAATACATTTTATCATTTATAATCTGTGTTTGTAATAAATTGGTGCCCTTTTCATTTTTAGATTTATTGGAGAACTGTTTAAACTTCATATGCTGACTGCATCAATTATGCATGAATGTCTGAAAAAATTGCTACATCGTGGCGATGAAGATTCGTTAGAATGTTTGTGTCGACTTCTTACGACAATTGGAAAGGAACTTGAAACCGAGAAGAAGACATCCAATACTAACAAACCAAGTTCATTGGTTAGTCTTTTTACATTTTATGTTTAAAATGTGTAAGATTGATATTTCGATAATGGATAACTTTATCTAATTTTTGATGATGGATTGTTAATTTTCCTTTATCAGATGCTTAGATTCTTGTGAATATTTGTCATATCAAAAGAAATATTTTCTTAAAAAACAAACAGAATTGACATTCCATTTGTTTAAGAAAATATTCAACTTCAGAAACTGTAAATGTAATAATTTATTTCCAAATAATTTCATGTTTCACTATATATCACTAACACTGTAAAAATTCCACACACAGCTTATAGTGTGCTTATAAATTATATGCACTGTGCGAGGTTTCATTTGTTCAATGCTGCATTGAATTTGCTACATAATATAGCATTATAGCAACTAGTGTACACTAGCCTTTACAAGAAAATCCTCTTATTACATTTAGTTTTTGTGAAATCTTCATTAATGAAAAATGATATACACTCTAGATGAGAAGTATTTTAATGTTAACAAGTTCAATTAATATATAATATAAAATATAGTCCCATGAATTAGTAACAATTATATTACATTGCTTAGTACAAAATACACTGCTTCCAATTTCCTCAAAATCGGAGCCAAAACGGAAAAGCACAAAACATATCATGACCAAGGGTGCATTTTCAACTTCAATGTTGATCACAATTCCTGTGATATTAATGCAGTCATCAGGTATATACCAAGAATATTTGTTTAACTTGTAAAATTACTTTTTCTTTTAGGCAATACTGCGTACACTATGAGTGCTAAACAATTAGTTAAGACAGTTGATGTATACATTGGAAATAAGACATTTTGTTTCCTCTGTCATGTGGATGCTAAGGGAAGCTTTTCCTGAGCCCACAATATTGTGGGTGGGACCAGACTTATTAGGACAGACCACCCTCAAAAATTACTTTATTTTCTAATCTACCTGGATTCAATCTTGGGTTTTTCAGAATGGTAGAGTGACTGTTGTTTTGACCATCTCGCCAGTAAGGAAAATGAAAAAATATGTGGAATTGAGTTTTTTATTACTATTTCACATTACTGAATTACAATATTAATTACTAATTAGTTTGTGATTTTAAAATTAAAAACAAAACATTTTCATTGAAACCCAAGCAAAAAGGTTACTTTTAAAGTTAGTTTTACATGTGTCCAGCTCCTGTATTCAATTTGGCTGCTAGGTCAGTTTGTTATATCTGGTAGCTTTAACTCTTCAAACACAAGTACGACAAAAGAAAAATTTGTTTTGACTGGTATTTGTATACAAATTCTCGCCTGAGGGCTAAAAATAATTGTGTGTCCAGGTATTGTAATGTACATAGATTGACAATTAACTCTAATCTCTGAAAATGTCTATCAGTTCTAACCAATTTCAAAAACATAGTGTTTAAAGAAAGAATCAATATATCGCGATAAAGTTTATTTTTGGAGTAACACAAGTTTATTCATATTTAAACATATCTGAACAGATAAAAGATAAAGAAATAATTGGAAATAGAAAAGAAAAGTTGGCTTTTGCCATTTTGCAGTTAGGTTTTTTTATGTGAAGGTCACTTAAGACAAATCTCATTAATACATTTGAAAGGATCTAAAAGCTTCTAGATTCTCTTAACTTTATTAATGTGGTTTGACTGAGTTAATGCTTTAATTAGAAAGACAAAATTCCAAATTTATTGAATTATTACATTTACGGGATTATACATAATATAAAATAACACACAAAACAAAATGTAATTTTTTTTGTGTGATAAAAAATTAAACTGAAGATAATTTATGCAGTCTTTGTAATATTAATAGTAAATTCAAATCTATATAATAACCGGCCTAAATAAAATTACAGATAAACTCATATTTTGAATCAATGAAAGAGATTGTAGTTAGAAGAACAACTAGTTCAAGAGTCAGATTTATGTTACAAGATGTAATTGAACTTAGAGAGGTATGAAATTTAAATTTTGATTTTTAGCCACATTTATGGTTTTATCTTTTGCTTTTTATTTTAATTATGTTGTTCTTGTTGATAACTTTTTATAGAACAATTGGGTTCCACGAAGAGACGAGAATAATCCAAAAACAATTGATCAAATTCATCTCGAAGCGCACAGGGAAGCACAAGAACAGCAACAGTTGCTGCAACAAACTGTCTTCCAAAAGAGAAGCTTTGAGGATCGTAACATGAATAGAAAAGGTAAAGAAATCTTTTGTATTTGATACAAGAGCCCTCCTACTTGCATATATTCAACTTAAGAACAATTTGACTGTAGGTCTAAAATTAAAATTTTGCATGGATTTTAAAGTTCTCTTGCCAGTCATGGGATGGTGCAAAGTCTGTCTTCAGTAACAAATAGGAAAATTTTAATAAATTGTTCGGAATTCTTTTGGTAGCATGTCATCATTTTCTATTTTAGCTCGAATTCTGATGTTCCATTGCCACTCTTGAGATGGTGTCCATGTTTTGTAACATTGGAGTAACTGCGTTAACTGAATTAATACAACTGTTGGCGTGACGTCCAATCTAAGTATTTAGTATACCTAATAGGAGTAACTGCATTTTTTGCTATTTGCAATTTTTATAAGCTTTTACATTTAGTGCTTCAAAAATGCATTCAAAATGTAATAGTAAATCTAGCATTGGAGATTAAAGCAAGAAGCATCACTCTGTTACCGTGGAAACTAACTTTTCATTATAAAACTATTATAAAACATTAGGTAGGAAAAACTCTTTTGAAACACCTACTAGTAGCGAGCAGATAAACACATGATGTATTCTATTGAATATTAATACATCAAAGGATCAAACACTAACAATACATAGTTATTCTGTGTGCAAATGTACTTTCTAGGTTAGTTTGTGACTTCGATATTGAAAATTTAAGACTACACAATGTTTGAGTCCTTTTTCCTATTTATATCCTTTATAATTGTGTGATCTTAAATTTTCAATATTGAAGATAAACCATAATAATCCTGGGTTAATATGTACACCTAGTTTTTGACTTATGAGAAAACTTTGGAAACCTAACCTGTTCATAAATAGGGGGAGCACATGTTTACTGTTTAGTCAAAATCTGTTTTTCAAAACTACAGGGTGTTTCACCAGGAAAAGTTGAATAACTCACGTTAAAATCGAGATAAAGTGATGATGGCACCCTGTATTAGTAGCGCAGACTGTCAACTTTCATCTCATCTAGGTTACTACGTAGTATTGTGGTGTACTGGTCGAAGCAACATCATGCATTCACAGTAGTGTGCTATTTTTGCGCCATCAAATCTGTCGTGCATGTGCAATGTGAATTTCGTAAACATTTTAAGATTCAGCTACAATGTTCAATTCCTGCTTGTGGAACAATATTGAATTGGGTAAAAAACTTCCGTGAAACTGCCAGTGCATCGAATTGAAAGTCAGCCGGCTGTATGAAGATCGTACGAACTCCCAAGAACATAGAACGTGTGCTTAGCAGTTTACAGAAAAGCCCTTGTCGTTCCTTAAGAAAACGTCATTTGTCCAGTGTAGTATTTCATAAGTAAAATTGAATAAATTTTGTACCTTGTGTAAAATTTTCAACTATTTTTAGCAATTAGTTTGTGAGTTATTCAACTTCGAAATTGTCAAAACGTTGTGAAACACTCTGTATAAAAACTGTCAATCTAACAACTCTCAATACAAAATAGTTTTTAACAATGTAAGCAGAAATAGATAAAATGATAATTTGAAGCAATTTAATCAAAAAATTAATACTAGGTTTTAACAGGCCCCTTTTTCACAAATTTAGTTACTTAGCTGTGCTAACTTGATATCCTTACGCTTTGTGTAATATGTGGCAGCCTTATTGGATTTGCCGTCATAATGGAGTTTGACATCTCAAACAAACCTCTAGTTGTTTTATTATTATTATTATTATTATTATAAAAAGTACTAATTACTATTTAATGGGATAAAACATGCACAAAGTACAAAAAAAAAAGTTGAGAAAATGAGGTTTTCCAACTTTGAAAGTGCATTTGGTAGTCCAAATAAAGTAAACTTGATTTTGAATTGAGTTTTTTTTTTCTTTGTTAGTTTTATTACAAAGTTTCTAAAGTAAAATTAAAGTGCAGTAAAATTATTACAATGGCAAATTGTTTTCATAAATTGACAGCATGTAATTAATTTGAACTTTAAGTGAAAGTTTAAATATAAAATATATTTTAAGTGTAAGTGTAACTGAACAGTTGAACCTCAATGTAGTGCCATCTGAAATAGTGCACATTCTCATTAAGTTCTGATGAGTACTTTCGCTTTGATTGTATTTGTTAGTATAGAGAATCTCTTTATTAGCTGTGGATCTTTAATTTACCAAATTACGTAATTTCAAAATTCAAATTTGTGTATCATTTCATACTAGAATTTTTATTGTTAGGTGGCTTCAATTTAGTGACAATTTCAGAAGTAAATAAAATGATTACTTGTAATATTGTTTCTGTTGAATTTCATTTACATTGTTTTAATATTCATTGCAATTTTTTTTTTTAATTTTATTTAATAGGTAGAGGATCAGCAAATTATCAAGACGACGGATGGAATATGCAGTCTAGTAAGACTAAAGGAACCATAGATCCCAGCAAATTAAAAGTTCCAAAGTCGGTGCGTATTTTGAATAAGATTGTTTTCTTGCATTAAAAATTTTTACATAAGAATAAGACTATAATAGTTACAATTGTGGTTTAGATTATAAGAATGCAGTTTAACTGAGTTTGATAACTTGGCTTTAAACAAATAACTTACATTGCAACTGTTATTTATAATGTGTGATTGGTATGAAATTCTTCACACAAAATAACATTTTTACATACAGCAAAGCTCTGTTTAATAAATTTACAATTGTGTGAATTATATCTAATGTTATGTATAAATCCATTTTCTATTTCCCTTCAATTTTGTTTTGATAAATATAAATGATTAATCAGCAAGTTGACTGATTACTGGTGTAATTCATTTTCAAAAGTAAATGTTTTCTTGATGTTTGTGAATTTCATTCAAACAAATATCTATTTTAAATATTTCATGCAAAAATGTTTGCAATTATTAATAAAAACATTGCAAAATATCTATATTTTACTTTAATATTTGCAATTTACTTCACATTCTATGAATTTTAACATGCATTCGTGATTTTTAATTTTTTTTTCTTCTTCTTCTTCGTGCCATATCAGATTCCTGACGTCGGCGACACCTGGCGTTTTTTTTCTATTATTCATTTTATTTATTCAATTCAATATAATAGTGAAATAATTATATTCAAATGTTGAGAAAAAAGTTATTTCGTTTTTGTTGATGGCCTTTTAAATACAGTTACTTAGATTCATATGAGTAACCTTAGTTTCAGTTTGATATGATGGAACACAGCAACATGACATATGGGCAATGCCTCGATGGAGGAATTTCTATGATATACTGGCCCCTATTTAGGAGAATGCACAAAAATCCACTCAGCCAGTCCATTGGTCGGGCATGGACCCATGACCAACTAGTTGGGTTTGGCAGTTTTATCCACTTTGCTACTGGTAGGTGACAGTTTTTTGGCCTCTTTAGGCTGATAAATTTCCAATGGATATATCTATATTATGTATATTACAAGTCTATAAAAGCTTTTTTCCTTCCTCTATTATGATACAGGGTAATTAAAGTAGAAGTTGTAATCAGTAGCACAGTTATATGCTCTGAGTCAGGCTTGGCAACATTGAGCTTGCTTTGCGTGTACTGCTGCTTTCTGACATCTGTATGCTACTTATTGTAAGTTCTACATTCTACTTTAGCTTGATTACCCAATGTAATGCAGTGTTTAAAAATGTTGAAACGTTTTGATAGTGTTTTGATTAGAGTTTCTGAAACGGGATCCCGGTTGTTTTTTTAACCCGGGAAATATCCCGGGAAATTTTTCTTATCCCGGGAAATCCCGCAAATTTCTTAAAAATTCACTTTTTTTCTTATTTCGTGTTAAGGTTGAGGAGTTTTGCAAATAGAAAGCATAATTAACTCATTCACTGCCAGAATACATTTGTATTTATTAATTTTAAACCTACCTATTAGTTTTTTTAAATTTTTGCTCGTTATAGCATGTCACAAATGGTCAATAATCAATATACTGTATAGCTTATTTGTGGCATGACTATAAAAATTCTTTACTTGTCGGAACCTGTAATATCTGGAATAATTGTGCTTACGCTGTCTTGAGTTTTAACCATGCCCAGTAGCTTCAATAAATGCCTGACGCCAGATTGTGCAAATTGGGCAAGGATACAAACGAGTACAAAGTCTGCAAGTATGAAGTTTTTCTTCATAAACCTGATTATTAAAGCCAAATGAATTGCCGAATTATCGAGCTCTAAGCTTGATGCCGCTATTAAAGCAGCCAAGGTAGACAAATCAAGAATACTAGAGAGCGAAAGAAGTACTACAATCTCGAAAACGAACTCGAAAGCTTCCAGGCTACAGGTGAAAAAACACATAATATCTGTCTTCTCTTAAATGCATTAAACACTATTCCAATCACATCAATTGAATCGGAAAGGGCATTCTCGGTGGCAAGACTTTTCATTACTAAAATAAGAATTAGAGTGAGTTATCGGAGTATTGACCATCTTTGCTTTTTAAAATCTTATAAAAGTTTGCAATATTTTGTATTATATTTTATTTAAAAAACGAAAATTACCTTCTAAATTAGAAGTTCATTTTTTTAATTTTTAACTCAATTCAAAACATTTTTTTTGTTGTTGTTGTATGCAGTTTCCAGCAAACTTTAATTAATTTTTTTCTATTTGTGAAAATTTCTACGTTATTTAAAGGTAATTTTTATTATAGGCCTATAGACCTAACACAGCATTATTAATATGATTTTGGAGGTTACAAAACTTTAAAATTACTTTAAAAAATGGAAAATAATTATATCATTTGATTTCAAGATATTTTGTATACCTTAAAAATAATTAATTCTATCCCGGGATTTCCCGGGATCCCGGGAAACAGTTCACTTTTATTCCGGGATCCCGGGACAAGCAAAATACCGGGAAATGAGAAACCCTAGTTTTGATACAATTATGGAAGCATTCAGTGATTAAACCAATTTATTTTTAATAAATGATGAAAATGCTCCTGCAGAACATAATGTTGAAGCAAATGGAATTCCTCGTTTCTGATTTAACTATATTGTCAAATATTTTTGGCTTAATTTAGATTTTACAATTGCATAAATTTAAATTGGTTTTTCTTTGTTTGTTTAATCGTAGGTTGGTGAGACAGACATACAATTGGGGCATGGTTTTGCTAAGTGGGGTCAAGGTAGCAGCGGTGGTAATGTTAAAAATACCAGTCAGGATTCCGAAAACAAGTCAACTGTGCTTAAAAATAGGTAAGTTTTGATATTAATAAGTGCATGACATTATCGTTTGTAGATTTGCATGATATTCTGCTTGCTTTTTTTGTAAAATAAACATTTTTCCTCTTAATTATTTGACAGGAAATAACAGTTTATTTAAATATTTGAAGTTGATACGATTTAGTTGGGTTTTTAAATTCTAAAATATTAAGAACATACTATAAAAAAACAAATTATTTGGATCTTAAGTAGACAAATAAAACTATTGCTTTGCCTTTGTGAAAATTTAAATTTTTTAAACAATTTATAACAGAATATTTAACAATTTATTGTTTATTATATATTAAAAACAAATCTCTTAACAAAACTAATATCTTTGCCATTAATTCTAATCATTAGAGAAAAACCTTTATCTTATTTTCTGCAGAGTAAATTACATAAATTGTTTATGAAATGCAAATATTGTTAGAATTTTAATTGGTTTACTGGTTTGTTTGCATGTGTTTGCACATGGATATAAACCTGTAAATATTTTATGATGGTAACAAATGTGTGTTTGTGTGTCTACACACGTACACATGTTTAATATTATATTTAAAATTTTAATATATCCTTAAGATACATTATACATTTTATAAGATTTAATAATTCCTCCAAAATTCTATGCAATGATGAGGGATGTTTTAAAAATAATGCCTAATTGGCTATAACTCAAGATATATTTGAGATACAGGTACAGAATTGGGCATTAAAATATTTTGCTATACCAGTAACAGAACGAACATTCACAAAGTAGTCTGCAAACACACTGTCCACTGTTTAATCCAAGCTGTGAAGCCATCTCAGAAAAGTTGAGGAGATTGTTGTCTGGTCCAGTGTCAAACAGCATCTGTGACAGGAAATGCTTTCCACGCACCATTCTTCAGTGGTCCAAACAGATAAGTCTAAATGTTCCAAATCTGGATTGTGTAGAGGGAAGGCACACCATCCAGCCCATTTTGGTGATGATTGTACAATGTGGTGATGTATTGTACACTGTTGACGTTGCCTCTCATCTTTAAGAAGTACAGATCATTGTTTCAATGGCACTGTGCTCTGTTGTGGAAGATAGATCTAAGATCACTAATGAACAGTCTCTCACCAAATCAACATTTCTTAGCAGCACATTGACACCTTTTGTAATAAAAGATGATGTAATAAAAGTAGAAATAACTTGGGCATTGACAGTTGTAAAGAAAAAGATGTCATTCAATTCATATTCTGATATTAAAAACATTCTCAAAAAATGTTCCCTGACAGTGCTATAACCACACAATTTCAATTGGGTCCAGATAACGCTTCCTATATAATAAATTATGGCCTAGCCCATTATTTCAGAGAAAAATTGATTGATTGATTGCTGTTAGAAGTTGCGATATTACTACTATTTCCTTTGAGAAATCACTAAACAAAGTTGCTCAAAGAACGCAAATGGATCTTGTGATAAAATACTGGGACATGAGTAAAGATAAGGTTATGACCAGATATTTGTTTCGTTTCTAAATTGCTTACTTTTTCATTACATCGAAGTTGTGGATTCTATCATGCATTTTTCTACAGGATTTATGTACTGTATTTTTTTTTAATGTGGCAGCCTTTGAAACATATCAAATGTGCAAAAAGAGGGATAGATGTACTCAATGTTCACAGTAAATAAAATGCTGTTTTATTATGTCGATATTCCACACGGTAAGAAATGTGAGGGTCAGGGAATTTGGACAAAGTTGGTCAGGGAAAGTCAGGGAATTCAAAACAAAAGTTTGAGTAGGAACCCTGCATTTAATCGAAAATACCCAGATAGATAGCAGACATGTAAATTACATGATTTATTAGCATTTAGGCATTATTTTTTAGAACATCCTTCGTAATTTAAAAAATATTATTTTACATTGATATGATACTAGTAAAGTTCAGTTAATTTTTATAGCAATTAAATTTTGAACTGTTTGTAACTTATAAAACAGTTCAAAATTTAAATACTTTAAGTGAGTAATAAAAAAAAAAAATGCTTCTTATGAGTTTGCAAACGTTCACCTTGATTTCTTATTATATTAACATCAGTAGCTTTCTTCTGTTAATCAGAATTAGTACATTCTGTTCTCAATGTATTGGTAGCTTCTGGCATGCGGGAAATTAGTGAGTAACAGATGAATTAGTAATTTGGAGTATAGTTATTTCCATCACCTAACATTATAAAATGATCATTCATTATAACAGGTTTGTACATTTGTGCTAACTATATTTAGTTAGCATGAATGTACAGATAAAGGAAAACAATATTACAATTTGTTGATATGTTAAAAGGAACAGTTTGTCGGTTAACACAATTGTTACCTGTAAATTGGTACACTCTTTGATTCATTGAGCTAATGCAATGATTGTTCTATTTGAAGACTGTTCCTAAAAGAGCTTTAGCATAAGATCTTGTTGGAGGGACCAATAGCAGTTTTTCTCAACAGATAACGGGATTTTTCTTTTATAATAGAAGGCACTTGAACCTCTTCTGTACACAAAGTGAATAGAGCAAACAGTCAGCAAATTTTTCCCATGCATAATAATGGACAGTCGATGACCTGTGTTCTGCAGTTATTAGGCCTAATAAATGCAGAACTAGATATATTTTGTGATAAACTTTTTTCTTTTATCATAAAATATTTAACAAACTTTACAGTAATTTTAATTTCCATTTTAACGCGTAGTCATTCTGTCCATAAAAAGTATAAACACACATTCTCAATGATTTGAAAATGTGTGTTTGTACTTTTTGTTAGTTTTTGTATTGAAAGACTTTAATTTTGCAGGTTTTCGGCATTAGCGACTGAACAGACTTATCCTAACTACGAGCCAAGAAGAGGATCTCAAAGGTATTGTATTTTGAAAACCATTTGAAATTTAACATGTGTTTATGATTTATAAAATGAAAGAAAATACAGTATAATTTTTGGAATTTATGATGAGATTTATTAGATTTTTTCGTCAGAGAAGCAATGTAGTAGTGAATATTTCATTGAAATGTGTTAAAGTTTAATCAATGGCGATAAAATATTCATGTAGTTTAAAATGGAAGCAGACACAGGATTTTTCAAATGTTAATTTAAATGAGAAAATAAATAAATTTTTGGTTACATTTTTTGGCAGAATCATACATAAACTTTGAGGGGACAACGCTCCAAAATGTTCCCTAACACAAGTAGATAAACAAATGGATTAATAATTATTCAATAGCTAGGTAAATAGACTTTAGTGTAGAAAATGATTGATGGCAATGTAAATTTTTTGATTTGCACGATTTGTTGGGATTTCAAAGGAAATAAAATGTTACTTCACCTCTTCAATTATTAACTAAATCCAGACAGATATATTATTTAGAAAATATTAAGATCTTTTGCAAATTTGAATAGATTTTTAAAATGTCTGTTTATGGTTGTTTCAAATTTTATACTGAACTTACCATATTGTTGAAACTTACTTTTAAGTAAACTGTAATAATAATAAAAGCTGACTCAGTGCTGCAAGGATTTAGATAAATTTATAAGAAAATTCCAATAACACATAAAAAAACAAGTTTGTAATGACAAAATAGTTTATTAATTGATAAGGTAACATTTTACAACAGTCCTTTTCTTATAGGCTACTGACAGAGCTTTTTACTTTCCTCGTAGGTTTTTTTTGGTCCAAACTGCCGTAATAGTTAATTTGCATAATAGTAAAAGACTTACAAATACTGTAGAACTTGTAAACTTACAGGAAACCTCCCTTTTACAAGTTTCCTACAAAAGAAAGCTGAATGTAGAGAGGAGAAACTTCTGGATCCTACAGAAACCTGCAGGATAGTTGTTGTGATACGTTGTTAATCAATTAATGAATTATTTCATCCTTATAAACTAGCTTTTACAGTACTGGAATTTTTTTAAAATTGAAAAGTGGAAGTCCTTTACAAGATATTGTTGAAACTGTAAAACTTTATACTGTTTATTAATTAATTGGGCTGAATTTGAGAAACTGTAGACTTATAAATTTCCACTGTCTTCTATTTCTTTTTTTAATCTAAAGAACAGTGTTAGGTAAATTAAATTCAAGAGCAGATACGGAAAGCTTGGATAGGAAGCCCCGATTAAGTATATACAAACTTCCAGTGCAAACCAGAAATCGTGTTATTTCAATTAAAAAATTTCCCGCAAAAAGAGCGTTCGATGACTGGCGTGACTTTATTATTAAAGAAAAAGTATGATCTACCGGAATGAGCCACTACTAATTTGAGGTGGAGAGCGTATATTTTAAATCAATGTCACAATAAATAATTGCTCGTATTATAAAACCTCAGGCTATCTGAATCGTAAATACAGGGTGGCTTTTCCGATAATAAATAAATCATTTGTCTTATGCAACAGCATTTATTTCTGGTTGATCTACCATTGACTATAATATGTTACTTTCTATTGTACTGTTTATCTACAGTATCTTTGATTCTATCATAAATATTCACATAACAACATATGATATTGTTTTCAGAAGTTTACTAGTTGTTTTATGGAAAGTTAGGTTAAATAGAAAGCAGGGTAAATATTGATAGTTAATAGTTAAACAAGAAAACAATTAATATTTTTAAATGTAAGTTTATTGTGGTGATAAACAATGAAACGAGTACAAAACGTTCTATTGTTCTAATTAGGTCTGCTGCTTCCAGTCGAGAATCCAGTCGTAGCGGAAGCAATAATCCTCCGCCTCCTCTCAGGAAATCGTCGTCTCAGACGTCAACTAAAGAAAGAAAACAGGCAATCGAGGCCGTAAAAGACTTCACGAACTCGGATGGCCATAAACAAGTTTCTGTGTCACAAACAAACGAGACATTGACCAAAGAAACAAGTAAGTTGGGAAAAATAAGAGATAAATATTTGTTGTTTGTATTTACTTTTTTTAATAATTATTGCTTTTTTCTTTAAGCTCCACATCTAATTCTGAAAGGTGGTAATCTCTCTAATGAAGAAATGGAGAAAAAGACTAAACCCCTTATTGATGAATTTTTGCATAATTCTGATTTTAAGGTATGTAAAATTTTGATGTTTATCTTCAACAGTAGCGATTTAATGTTACGTTAACGTGTAGTACGGTGGGTGATCGGTTAATGAACATAATCCGTTTCAAGACTTTCTTCGTTAACCAATTATCGCTTTACCATAGATTTTTATGGTAATTTGATTAATTCGTTCTGGAAACTCTAAAAAATAAAAAGTATATACTTTCTTACTATGTTTATTTATATGTCATGTTTTTTCCATTTGTGGAGGTTAAAGAATCTGTTTAATGTCGATTGCTTTTCTTTCTTCAGGATTTTTCAGAAGTAATTAATAGTGTGAGAAGCCGGGGGCCACAGGGTGTATCCCTAATGACCACTTAATTGGCAACAGTCTACAAAGATCGCTCATGTTGTTGTTTCAGAGGGCTTTCTATTGAGTGGCGAGTGGGTGAACAAGTTGACAGGTGTCCATGTTTCGGAGTGACAGGAGACAGGTTTTTACCTGACAACAACAAGAATTTATTATGTAACTAAACCTAAGATCAGATGCAGTTAAATGAGGTTACATATACACTCCTATGGAGTGGATTGACAAAAGTTTCTAGTCAGTTCGCGTGCTGACCTAATTACCTAGCTTTGTCGCTACTCCCGCTGAGAGAGAGTTTATAAGAATCTATAGATACCTCAATATTCGTTGGTCAAATTAGATGGTGTTCGTTCGATTGGAGAGAGGGGAATTCGAAGAGGACTGACGATTGTATGGCAGGTCTTCTTATCGTTGACTGGCATGAGCCAGGACAGTCAACGAGTGTTTGGCGTTCTTTCGTGGAGGTTTGCTGAACTTGGCCTTAGTTGTCGATTAATCCAGACTCTAAGTAATCTATTCACCTTCCTTCGGACTTGTGTGGAACGACTGCCCGGAAATTTGGTGTCTCCACCTTTTTTATGCTTGGTGCTTGGGAAAATGATCATGTGATCGACTATTGACATGTCAAAGGTTCATTCCCAGGTGCGGGCATAGGTTTCTTCTGATGATGTTTAATAGCAGCTGTCCCTCTTTCACAATCAAATGTTTTCCTTTTGCCATCTTCTCAAAATTCCTCTCCATTTGTTTAGAGTGTGTGTCACTTGATCCGTTCTAGAGCGATGTTTTTTTTATATATAACAATTGCATTAAGAAATTAAATTACAAGTCTTAATTTTGTGTGAAATTTGCTCATTACTCCCCTCAGGCTCGTAGATAGGCCGGCTGGCTCACAATAGCATTGTAAATTGTAGAGATTTCAAAGCCTATTAACCTTATCATTCTGGTTTGGATGCCATTTGGATGACTGTTGTTCTGACATCCTCCCACTTCTTCAAAAGATCTTTAATAGCAGATATCGACATTAATCCTCTTTTTCAGAAGAAACCATATCTTGCCAAGTTTCTTGATGGTCTTTTATTTGTGTGTTTGGCATTCTTCTGTCATGAGATTCGTTTCAGGTTCCATTATTAGCTCTTCGACGTTCTTTATTTCTCAGATGTGATTTTTGTTACTCCTTTAGCTGCTTGAGTCTTCTTGTTTATACTGTAGCTTTCTTAGATAAGATTGAACTCCAGCGTACTGTAGACCTGTTAAAGTCATACTGCCTAGCAACATCAAACATCTTCTGCCCACTCTCTACCTTTGCTATTATACTCTCACCTTTCAAAAATAAAACCAACGCAAAACTTAACGAGTGCCTGTTCAACAGTCTTGCAAATAAATTGTTTTTGTCAGAAAAATAAAAGGCTGGAATTACAAGGAAGCATTTCAAAGTTCAGGGGAATACTATCTGATCAGTATATACCTGATTGAGCATCAATGTCGACATCTCCCGTGTTCCGAAAAATTCCAAATTATTGCCTGAAGACAATGGAAGACCAGTCAGTATTCATTTTTATGTCGCTGCTTCTTGTGTTTCTGAGGTGTTCATTATCTGAACATAAAAATCTTTTACAAAAGTGTTCGTTATTCGATTTGTTCGTAGTTCAAGCTGTTCATTAACCGATCACTCACTGTACATTGCACCAGCTTACTTGATAAAATAAATGTGTTTTTGATTGTAAGAATTTACATTGCTTGACGACATAAAAATCATACTTAATGAAATAAAATTTAAACAGTAAAACTTATATAAAATTTCTAATTACAAAACTAAGTTTTTTAACTTCAACCATCAATTTAAACATAAAACTGAAAGAATCTATGTATTGTATGATCATAAAATTGCAATTAATAAATAAATTTATGTAATTAAGGAAAGCGGACTGAGAGACTTTATTATTGTAGGAAGCAATTCTCTGCGTAGTGGAAACGGTCAATCCGACGACTGCCCCGGTGTTTATTTCCTCTGCCATTTTCCAAGTTTTGGAGCGTTCTAGTCAAAGTCGGCATTTAATAGGAGAATTGATGCATCATCTTGTAAAAAAGAAAATAATTACATTGGATTTATATGTTAAAGGGTAAGGAAAATTAATTTTATTCATAGATAAATATACAGGTAGGCTTCCTACAATGCGGTAGATACGTTCCTTGAAAATACCACATTGTGGGAAATTGCGTTATAGGAGACACCAACTTAATACAAAAACTGGGATTCGGTTCTAAAAAAAAAAAAACTTGGCATTTGAAAGGCGTTTTTTCAATTTTTCAAACCAGCCATTTCTAGCCACAAATTTAACACTGGTTTCATCAGCTGACGACTGTCCCATTTGTTTTAAATAATCAAATATTTTTAAGGCTTTGTGTTTAAGTGCAGTTTTATTTAAGGGCAGCCATTTCTTGTTTGTATCTTCTACCCATAATTGCGCTTGTCCCAGTTTTTCCATTATAGGTGCTCTCGGACGAGCAACATTTTTCGCAAGAATAGATGATCCGGATGCGACCAAATTTCTAATCGTTTCTCCCGATTGCTTAATCGACAGAATAGTCGACTCATTTAAATTAAAATGCCTACCAATATCAGCTATTCGCTCTTGATTTTTAATTTGATCCAAAATTTCTATCTTTGTTTGAAGAGTTATAAATTTCCTTTTTAACGACGGTCCTTTCTTTTCATTTGGAATTATTATGGCTAAAATTTTTTCAATCAGTTTTATGGACAGTAAAAATTCACAAAAATAACTTTCCTTCTATTGTGTGTATATTTTTAACAACATAGTGAAATTTATACTGTATTTTGGACCATTTTTGTGGTCCCCAATTATTGAAAGAGTATAAATGATCGGAAATTTAGTGATATATATGAGTGTTCACGGTAACTGATGCACATCTGTCTTGAAACCGGTCTTCCCTGGAAACTATCAAGGGAATAACACGCCAACGTCTACAAACAGCTGTTTTCAAGGAAATTTAGCTCTGTATGCAGAACTGAGGCTCGTATCATGTGAAAGATAATTCATTTATAAATACCGTAAACCATGTTGTAAGAAAATTTTCGTGTTTTTCCAACCGCGTTGGAGCGAAAACGCATTGTAAAGGTACCACATTGTAGGAGGCCTACCTGTGTATGTATAATTACGCTATATATATATATGCTGCTTCACTGAAAGTTGCAATTCATAATAATTTTTTTTAAATTATATGCTAATTCAGTCTGTTACTTGACTTTAATCTCTACAAACTTAATCATTATTATAATTTGATGATGATTTTATTTTTCAGGTATTTTAAGTAAAAATTTCTGAATGTTTAATTTTTTTCTGATGTTTTCTATTTTGATGCCCATCTTTGGTATTTTATTTTTCATGTGTTGCATTTTATATTAATTCTTGATATAAAAAATTAATATTAATTTTAAGATCTTTAGTTTTATATTTTTGTTTAAGATACAGCATTAAAACTTTGCTTTTGGGTGTGAAATGTCTGAAGACATGCATTAATGGAATGATTTCTGGTACTCACGCACAAAAATTTTTAACGTTCAGCACTATTTACTAGTTGCCAGTGCTGTATAATGTAAATAAACACTATCCAACTATCAGAATCTTTCTGATGAAACAGATTTAATTAATAATTAATTAAAATGTACATTTAGATAGCAGTCAAAATTTTTTATTCCTATTTAAAAATCTACTGAAGAATTGATTTCAGGATTTCTCTAATGAGGTTACGATAATATCTTGTGCACCACCACAGGGTTTTCTGTAACTTTTTCTCTCGATGAGTATCATTGAAGTCTCTGGCTTTATTGACAGTTTTTGTCTAAAGTTCAACTTGGATAATAGAATTGTAATTGTAAAGGAAAGTAAATGCTATTGTGGAATTCTTGTCTCTGCATGTACAGAAAAAGTATGCTACGAATATGATTGTCATTTCTATTTATACTTGATATTAATGCTATGTATAACTTGTGTATGTTATATCATAACCATTTTTAATAAATAATTATTAATTTTATGGATGCTTAATAAAGTAATGTTATTTTCTGTATTTACAGACTGAAGTCTGTTTTGGAAATGGCTGACGATTGTGCCATCGATGTTCCAAAAATATGGCAGTATTTGGGCGAACTCATCGAACCAATGATCCAGGATAATTCAATTTCATTAGCATTCCTCAAAGATGCTGCAGAACCTTGCAAAGCTAATGGAACAGCTGGAAAATTGATGTCTGAATTATTACACATAGTACTAAAAAATCAGGTTTGTAATAATTTAAGAATTTTTACGTTAATTTTAATTGAATAGATTAAATAATACAATATTATTAAAGTTGAAAAATATATATAATCATATTTCAATAATTTAAAAACTTAGCAATGATTATATAACTTTAATTATGTTTCAGGGATCCAAGAGAGTTGCTCAGCTTTGGAAATCATCAGGATTAAGCTGGTCAGATTTCCTGAATGAAAATATTACAGATTTCATAAGACAGAATGTAAGTAAAATTTATTTTATGTAGCAGATATTGTTGTTTATGTACAGGGTGGACCATCCGTTTTAATTAGTCGAATGGATAGTAACTTGAAAAATTGCATTCTATGGAAATATTCATTAATATTAGACTTCAAGGAAGGGGGCCACAAGATAGGGCTATTGGTTTTGTCACAGATATTACATTGGTGAAAATCGAGTCAACTTCAGTTTCTTAAATGAAAATCTCGTTTTTACTGCTTTTTGTGATTTTACCACTAAAAGTTTGTTTCGAAAGGAGTACTTTAGTTCATTTGAAGTTTCATGCAGCCACTGCCCACCATGCATACACATCTGTGAATATCTGAAGTTCACTGTGAAAGGATGAAAAATGCTTTAAAAATTCATTAGGAGTCTTAAGGATGTTTATTATGATTCCATCAAATAGTATCACAAGCTTGATTGTTTTAGCATGCTGTGGCATGTTTTGTGTTAGTTCATTATTTGAAGAAAGAATGGTTTCACTAAATTTTTGAACAGATATATAAATGTCATTGGGGAAATTTAATTCTATTTTGAGGTTTAGTATTCTGCTGAAATCAGCAGAAAACTTCAATATTGTTTATTTGAATTTTTTGTTTTGATTTAGAATAGAAAATAGTTCAGATGTTTCGTGCAAGACGTTTGTATTTAAGAAGCATATTATTAACAATTTATTATTATTGTTACAGAAACTTGAATGTACCATAAGTAAGGATGATAATCAACAGCAACCATTAGAAAAACTGTCGTTCGATAAAATAAAAGAAAAATTGGATACTTATTTAAGGAAGGATGCAGACAACGAGATAATATTTGATTGGATCGATGTGAGTATAAATCGTTGCCTTTACTACTATGAGAAATTTTTAAATATTAACACTGATCTTTCTATTTCTAAACTAGTTTATTATTAAGTTATTTTTTTTTTAGTTAATAAAATTGATCTGTTTTGGGTAAAGGTAGTGTAGTGAAGTTCAATAAATAAAGGAAGTACATTAAAACCTGTTCAATATAGATACAGTAGAGCATTAATTATCCGTTCTAGTCGGCAAATTTCAAATGTTCACTAGTGATGTGGCACTACAATATTTGGCTATGTCTTGGCTACTTTAATATTATTTTTGTTAAATTTTTGCGTGTTATAGCTGACAACACGGCTCAACCATTGAAGGGAGGCCAGTATTTAAACGAGACTTAATTTTCTAATTATGAATGGTTGTTTGTTTTGTGAACAATAAAATAATTTTTAACAATACAATAGCAACGATTATTATTTTAAAAAAAAATTGTTAGGCTTAACATCTATAAAAATTCAACGCGAAGTTGGTTAATAGCGATATACTAATAACATGGGATATACTAATATGCTAATATACTATACTAATAGTGTATTTTATCATTCTTTCCGATTATCCGATTTTTTTTTCAGTTATCCGACCAATCTGAGTCCACATTTGAGTCGGATAATCGATGTTCTACTGTACATTCCAAACTGGAAAAAATATTTATACTGTGCGATTCCTGTTTATGCAGGTTTTATTTTAAGACTTGTCATTCTGACAGGCAGTAGCATTCCATTTGGATTATATTTTATATATAAAATGCTAAATTTCTTTAATGGAAAATGAAGCATAAATTGATTGAATTGATAGTTTTTGTCATCATCCAATTAGTCCAACTATTGATTAGAATTTTGTTATTTAGTAAGTGCCCATTGTGTGAAAGTCAAACCAGAAGTCATGTTGATTATAATAATGATCTAATTGTGCATTATACAAAAACTTGCTGCAAAATCTGAGCACATTAACTGAAAACATGAAGTAAGAAATGTATGAAAATAGGAATGAATAAATTATGTAGATTATTGTTGTCTTTCACTAGGACTTTGCTTTTCTGTCTATAATAATGCAATTGTAAATATAAATGTTAGGTTAAATAGGCAGAGTTCGTAAAGTTAGTCAAAGAATATACATTAGGAATGTCAGTAATAAATTGTAAATTTTTTCTATATATAACCACAAGTATCCGTTGCTTAATACACAAAATTAAATGTGGCAATCCCTTTATATACACAGCTTTACCGGCTGTTTTTACTTTTAATTAACTGCTTTAATCAAGGGATATTTGAATAATGAAACTTTTTCCTCCGTTTTTAAATTAACGTTCAAATTTTAATGTTTTGAAGGCCAATATTGAAGAGAAGGATCGGGATACGGAATTTGTTCGTGCCTTAGCAACATCATTAGTGGAAAATTCCATCGAAGGTAATTATTTTTCTTTTTTTATTTTAAGTTTTTTTCTATTCTAATAATTTTTAATAGAAATTAATATAAGAATAGTGCAGAATAATTTGTTGTTAAAATATATCCTATATAAAATAAAGGTGCCTGTACTACTAAGTTTATGCCCAGTAATATTAGTTGATTGCCATTGTAGTCTCTCTGTTTTATTATTAGTCTAGAGAATTATCTTTCATTTTATTACTTGATTTAAGCAATATAAAGTAACAATGAGAAATTTCAGCCTTTGCTTGGCTATGTCAATTGGCAAATCTCAACTTTTGACAACATTTTAATCCTTATAATGAAACAACAATTTTTTGTAACATTACATGCATGGACTTGTATTGCTATATAAATGAATTGACATTAGTCTATGGCATGTGACTTTCATAATCTTATTGTTTTCTTAAACTATAAAAAAATCAAGTAAAGCTAAAACTCTGACATTTAAAATATACAGATCGTTCATTTGTAATTTATTTAAAATCAAAATTGATACAGAAGTATTTTGAGAATCTTCACTGTGTGTAGCATGTTATCAATCACTTATATGTGGATTTGTTTGCTGACCTAAGTGCAAATTTTCTCACACTCAAATTAAATTGTGTTTCAAATCAGTTTTGCAATTAGGTGTTTTTTTTTTCTTTACTATATATCAAATTTTGACATGATTTGCATATTCAATGCAAATTTCATTTAAATATTTAACTATTTTTTATATGTTCTAGGTGAGGTTTCAGTAAGTAGGTTTGATAAGAAGAAACTGTTGCCTAGGCTACCATTGTTGCAGAAATATTTGGCCCAAAAGATTTTTCTAGAATTACAAGTGTTGTACGCCTTACAAGCAATTGTAAATCGTTTAGAACATCCAAAAGGTAAGTCTGTTTTATTACGGGCGGTACTCTGTTGGCAGATGATACTTACGGTTTTTTTATGTCTACAGGTTTATTGATCAATATCTTCCAATTTTTGGATGACCAAGACATAATATCTGATGAGGCCTTCATACAGTGGGAACAGAGCACGGATCCTGCCGAACAGGAAGGAAAGGGAGTGGCGTTAAAGTCTGTGACGTCGTTCATGCTTTGGATACGAGAACAAGAGGACGACTCTATAGAAGAAAATTGATCTTTATTGTAAAATTAAATTTTTTCTTTCATACTTCACGAACTAATGGGTTGACCACTTTTTCCAAAACAAAAGTTTGAATACTACATCGGGTGATTCCAGGTTTTAACGAGACAATGTTGCAAGTGGATCAACAGTTAGATTTATTTTGGAAGAATTCACTGATTTGTTGTGGTGTTTAGTGAATTTGGATCAATCTGTTGATATCCTGTAAAGCCTTGGCACATGTACATTTAGGTTTAAAAAAAAAATTGGATCTAAAGAGGGAAAAAGTTGCAGTGCAAAATTGAGTAAGGCACAATTTTATAAGCAATGTTGCAAGGAAAGATTCTGGAAGGTTATCAAAGAGATCGCTGATTGCGGTATTTAATAATAATGAATTATTCTGTTGATATCCTGTGATATCTCAGCTCATGTACATTAGAAAATATTAATGATTCTAAAAAAAACAAGAAAAAAAAGGAATTAAATATAATAATTGCATAAAGTCAACTAAAATCTACCAAAGTTTTTTGAGAATAATTTGTGAAATGTATTTATATATATATATATTCCTTTTCCTCTCTTATGTTTCATCTTTAAAGGAAGAAAAAAATATTGATTTACAGGTTCTATGGGCAATACTAACTAAAGGGATTATTTTTATTTTATGTACATTTGACAGCTAGTTTAGCTATTTAAAGACGACCGTGTAAATTATTTTTTTGTTTCTTCTCCCTCCTAAAGTTATATGTATGTGCATATTCACGATCCCGCATGAGCTACAACTCCGCATCACATAGTTAAAAGAAGTAATAACGATAATATAACCAGACATTGCTGATATTCTGCATATTGTTTATTTGGAAGAGAGGGTCTCTTTCTATTTTTTAATATTTCATATTTTTCTCTTTGAATTAGCTTATATATGTGGAAGAGATGCAGAGACTCGTCTCTCATTGTTTCTAGTTTATGTTGATTTACGGTTGCCCGACCCATGTTGTACATATGAAAAAAAAAGAGAAAAAAAATGGCTCTACTCTTAAAAAATTATTATTAAAATATATTAACAAGGGGTAGTTGTCTTTTTCACGTTTTGCCGAGCAAAAATCTTTTCCGGAACATCTCGTACTCTGTTCTTCTTCTTCTCCTCCCCTCTTGCCTTTTGTTAAACAATTTGCCACAAAATTTAAATATAGTTACTGTTATATTTTCTTTTATAGTCTTTATATNCATTGTCTCTATCTAATTTTAAAATCATCATATGAATATATAATTAAAATTAAATATTTTTAAATGCAACAGATTCTTTTCTTTATGAATGCTTTAGAATACTTTCTTTTACAATTGATATAAAATTTTTGTCACGATTGTCTAAAACAATTTAAGTGCTATATTTTTTTTAAATGATATATAATTCAAAGTTCGTATTCAGAAATAAAATCTGAATTTGTAACACCAAACCTATGGGAAATTAGAGATCAATTTTTATTAAGTTGTTTATGTTTAATTGATACCTGGACTTTAGCAGTCAATTAGGTCATAAAACTGGATACCTATTGTATTTAGATTATGCAAACAAAGCAAATACATGTCGTCTCTTTCTGCAATTTTCAAAATTAACAGTAATTTCAGATTTTACATATAAAAATATCATACTATCTCTAGTATTTGTTAACATACAGAACAATCCAATACCTATAATTTTCCAACCGATCCAATCTGATCTTTGTTTCTCTCCATACTCTACAGGTGTAACACTTGTAAATGAAAGCATTAAAGCTCATTGTTTTAGAGATTATCTGCTTTGTTCGCTAACCATTTAAATTCAAGTATAAAGAAATAAAAGTTTATTGAGGACTCCTTTTGGATCCAGGCCATAGGCAATTGTAATTGTCTACAACAGTTTGTCTAGGCCTGACTCGTCCTGTTTTTAGGAAAAAGTTCAAACACACCTTGAATAAATTTATAATAGCAAGAAAAATCATTGCAAAATCATCAACTGGCTTGAAATATTACCAGACCTGCAAACATCACACATTCACTGCTAAAATTGCATCCAGTAATGTGCTACAAGTTGTCACTCGCCAAAAGCAACAACAACTATATGTCACGTGGCTATTGGTGGTAAATCATACGGACAGGATGCTCTCTACTGCAGGTTCTTCTATCTTCTTCAATAGCTGTACACACTAATTCAAGATTGTTGACATTTATAGTAGCACCTCAGTTACTATATGAATTTTTATATTATGTAAATCAATATTTTCTCAGAATCCTATACGTGAATTACTAACTGCAAACATATACTGAAATGTTGACATAATATTCTGCAAGATTTTCAACAAATCACGGATGAAATATTAAAAAATAATAATAAAATACTCACTTATGCTTAAGCACAAACTTCACATTCTTATAGGCAAATGCTACAAGCCAAGTACTGATGAGAGTGATGACAGCAAACAAAGCAGCAGATTGTACAATATCCATCTGATGAATTCTCCAAAATAACCCTAAAAATAATCAATTTGTAAATATACTAATTGTTTTTGTAATAATTATAAATTATATTAAATTGCAGCCGTAATTAATAATATAATTATGACACTNACTACAGTTATTTTTTTAAATGTATTACTTGGCTTTAATTTGAGTATGTTTTTCGCGTTGGAACGAATTATTTGGTTTTACATGTAATCGTATGGGAAAAGATGATCCACCTTACGACATTTTCATGATACGATCTCAGTTTCGGAACGGATTAATTTCGTATCCTGAGGTACCACTGTAATTGCAATTGGAGTTGAAATAATATGATCTATCATCATGAGTGGATATGGAAGTTTCTATAAACTGTGACCTTGTTCTAGTGTCTTTATTTAACTAGAATGTTGCCAGGTTTATGGTAATGGCCATAGGTCCTCCTCAGCTTTCTTGACAATCCTTTTTCTACTAGCAAAACCTATTGAGAATATAATATGACACAATTTGAAATTGGCATTCCTCTCGAAACGAGTCTTTCACTACGTAAACTAGATTAAGCAGTGGTGTAACTTTTGAATGGGGATGTCATTTAAAGGCCATGGAGTTCGGCTTGATTCCCGACAAAATCCCCACTAGCAGTCGGATCCTTGTAGTTCTTTGTTCATCTGTTGTCTTTGTCCTCCTTTCTTGCCCAGCATGACTTTTTCCATTCTATTTGCACGTGTCGTACAGTCAAAATTACTTTTTAAATTTGTTGAATGGTTCCTCCATGGCAGACGGGTGTTATTTTCTCTAGTATGTACTTGTTGATCACTGTGAAGACCAAGATATTTTGAGCAGCTTCTCTGGATCCACATTTTAATTGAACCTATTTTCTTACATTTTCCCAGGGTCTGATTTTCACAATCTTTATATTTGGTGATATTGCAGTCTTTTCATTTTTCTGCCTCAGAATAGTGTCTGGTCTTCATCGCACTGCACCCCAAGATAATTGAGAAGAATCCAATAACTTTAACTATAAACTCTCCAAGAATCCTGATTTGACATTGTCTTTGTCTTGCCTACATTTGATGTTAGTTAAACAACAAAATGATAAAGCTGGTCTAAGTAATAAACTCTTTACTGATACAAAATATCCGGAAGTAAGTGGTATTGCCAGCATATGTCAAATTATTGATCTTTATTCCAGCAATACATTCACTGTATAAAATAATGCAACTTTTCCAATTTCAAATCATTTTCTTTCCGAATTGTTCTAGTATACACCTCATATTCCATAATTTAGTGGTTTGAACAATTGTATGCCCGGGTATAGTTGACGACACACGAGCAAATTTGGTTTGGCATTCTTGTATTTCTAAATCTGGTCCGTTTGGCGTTGCTTTCCGTGTTTCATGCTAGTTGTTTTTTGTGAAACTTCACTTGTCTGAGAAGTCAACGACATTGTAAATTACTTCTGTACAGTTGTTCGTCTCCGGCCATACCATCTTCTGTATTTGCCGCGTACTGCAGTCGAGCAAGTTTAGTGACCTTACAAGCATTTTTCTTGATAAATTTCAAATCTTTACACTACTTTCTGAATAATTATTAATGTCAAAACTCATTTATAAGATACAAATTTGTATATGAGGGTGGTGCGAAAAAGATACGCTTCAATTCTGTGGCACTAGTGAACATGTGTGAATATTGGCATTCCTGAATGCTATTTAACATGTGCAGCCACTTAAGAGTATGCAATTCCTACTCTCGGTGACTTCTGATGCATGTTGTTTACAAAATGGCAGCAAGACAACTTCGTCGAATGCTTGCTATGGAAAATATGACAAGCATTTAAAATGGCAAATTTGAAATGTAAATGTTATCCCTAACTATATGCACAACAAATATAAAGAATCTTCGTAGAATAAGTTTTAAAAAAGTTGTATTTACAAAATCAGCCATTTTCTTCTTTGGAAGTGCAAGCAGTGGAAGCGACTATCAAACTTGCTTGGTAGCTGCTTCCTGCACACACGTGTAGAAGTGTCATCTGGTGGCCACTGCACTAAATGCAATTATTCTGGACATGCAATTTTCTAGAATCAGTTTGTCTACTCTGCTCGGACGCTGTCATGTAGGACGTACCCCGAGACAACAATACCGGCAGTCGGCCTCCGTGTTATTACTTTATTATTCTGTTTCTGTTAAGCTACTTTTTCGTGTGCTGGCTCATATAATCTTGCTACCAATCATATGCTTATAGACAAGTTCTTTAATGTTACGTGGGCTTATTGTCGGAAAGCATTCGCTTCTACTCGTACAAAGGCACTAATTTGAGAGAGATTCTGGATGCTATTGATCATTGATTAGAATGTCGCGCCCCACGCTCGACAATTCTCTATTCGTAGATTTATCTTACCAACAAATACGTTCGTTATCAAGCATGTTTTGTCTAATTTAGATAAAATCATTCTAAAAAGTGTTAATCTAATTCGATGATATTCTTGACGGACTACTCTGTTTGAGGCAACAGAACAACTTACCCGTCAAAATTACCAACATGATTGAGGAGAAAATTTGTTTAATTAGAGGAAAACCTGTCCTAGAACATAAAAATGATACATGCTTGGCAACTTTTTCGTTGAGTGTTTTTAAGTAAGTATAATCTCCATGCACTGTAATAATAATAATAGTTTTGCAGAAATTAAAAACTTTCTTCGGACCCGGACCTAAGAATCAAAGTGCTGAACTCTATACAAAATCTGTACATTTCATTATGTTTAAAAGCAATAACTAATTGCAATATTTTGAAATTATATGCACTCTTGTTTTGTCATAACGTAAGCAGCACCAACAAAGTATACATCACTCTTCAGTGTTTTACTCAATTTTAAATTAAAAAAAAGAGGGTGATCAGTTAACGAACATAATCCGTTCCAAGACTGTCGTTAACCAATTATCGATTTACTATAGGTTTCTATGGGAATTTGATTAATTCGTTTAGCTGCTTGAGTCTTCTTGTTTATACTGTGTCTTTGCTATTATACTCTCACCTTCTGAAAATAGAAACCGAGCAAAACTTAACGAGTACCCACTTGACAGTCTTGCGAATACTATAAAAAAAAATTCTGTCAGAAAAATAAAAGGCTGGAATTACAAGGGAGACTTTCAAAGTTTAGAGAAATACTATCCAATCGGTATATACCGGGTTGAGCGTCGATGTCTCCCACGCTCCAAAAAGTTTTAAATTGTTGCCCCAAAGACAAGGGAAGACCACTCGGTATTCGTTATTTTACGTCACTGCTGCTTGTGTTTGGTCTGCGAGGTGTTCGTTAACCGATCACCCACTGTACTCTATTGATGCAACTCTTGTATGATTGCTAATTAATGAGAGTTGCATTTATAGAGTTAAATAGTTTTTGGACAAATTGCGAGTTTCGTCAAGATGATAATAGAACATTTTGATGTCTGGTATTTTTCTAGTTACCAACTGACTAAAGTTTCATAGTTCAATATGGTTAATTTACATGTATTTTAAAAGTAGTTTTGTAAGTAATGAACAATAATATAGAGATAATTACAAAAGGACCTTTACATCATCCTTTAGTGGCGTATTTAAACATGCCGGAAAATTTTATGCTTGAGGCTTTCATCTTTCATGGACAACAATTAGAAAAGGTCTATTACTTGATTTTCTATTTAAGTATGCTCTTAATAGAATTTAACGAAATGTTAATATTTCAAGTGTAAATTTATTAAAAGAAATAAGTCAAAACTTTTGTTCAAACTTTTATTGTCAGTTTAAAATGTTTAAGTTTTTAGTGAGAACTTGTAGAAAACAGAGCCAACAGTCCTCCCGCGGTTCCCACCGACAGCACGTAGTTCCTATTTTTTACGTTAAGGAAGTGCGGTTAAATTTGTGAAAGATTTTTAAAATACAGTAGAGCATCGACCGTCCAAAAAATCCGAGCCTATTTCAGGTAGCCGATGACAATTATTATTTCCTTACTAATTTAAAAATGAGTCGTAAGCTTCTGTTTATAGTGATTTTCTAACATTGGAAACAGATTATGTAATAATTATTGATGGCAAAGGCTTTCCGGAATTATTCTCCAAAGTCAATTTTTCAGACGATCAAAGCTCTACCGTATTTATACATAAAATTCACTAATGTGACAATGACCGGTAAAAGGATACACGCTGGGCGTAAACGATCGCATCACGTAAAAGGAAGCGACCGTGATGAGCATTAAGTATAGGGCGTTGTTGTAAAAGATGGAAAACGTAGTCGCTTCGTAGTCGGCCACTTCGTTCTTCTTCCATAAAATTCTATGAAAATAATAATAAAACAAAATGAGAAATTACAAGATCCTCCCCTGTATTCTTTTTGGGTAACAAAACTGGGTAAATTATATTACAGCTCTGCTTTGGACAATTACAATGTGATAATATGAATGACAGCATCGATGCTCTCGGTGAACTTTTATACACTAATCTGGTTAACAGATATCTATATATTTTACTATAGCAATAAATACGGTTGTGTTATCTTCACAACACTCCTCTGCACCAGAAAGGTAATAATTTCCACACTCGTGGCACCGATTGTGTAATCTCGATCTGACCGTCTGCTTAGAGTGCAAAGCATTTCTAAAAATGGAGCCCTCAGTATTATAATTTCCAGATTTCCCTTGACAATACGTGCTTAAAAGACGAGTCGTAGCCGCCACCTCTCGATTTGGCCATCTACTACTTTACAAAGGGGAAAAAATATAAATTTTGGTATTGATAGGTGTGAAAAGAAACACTTGTCTCTGAAAATACAAATTATGAAGCATTTTAAAAACATAAAATTACTCCAGTACACAGGTTAAAATATTTGTACGATCAATTGTGTATTGTCATACTGTATAGAAGTCACTTGGGATAAAGACAGATTTACTACACCTACGCACGATCCTAATTATCCATCTAGTTTATGCTATGGTTTAATGGCATATTCTAACAATTGAAATTTTCACGTTCTGTTATAATTTGTTTGACAATAACCTAAATTCAATTTATTGAAAAAAAAAGTTGGTAAGACATGCAGTTCTTCCTCCAGTTTTTTTTTTTTCCTCTGTCTAAATCCTAGATATAATAAATTTTCGGTTTTGGTGTTAACTGGATACTCTTGTTGCAACGTGTAACAATAGCACGACTTTTGTTTATCCCGGAACCGTGAAGACTGGGTGCAGATCTGGTAATTAGCAAGTTGACAAGAAAAATACCGATTTTGCCGATCGGTTGCCATTTCGATGGCGATGTAGTGTATATTTCACATTATTACGAATAATATACTCGAAACTTTGTTATTTAAATTTTTCTATGTTTACTTGTTTCTTATGTTGTCTTACGGTAATTATATATTAATACATTCGTAAATAGATAAATTGTACAGTACATTACCTTTCGTCCTTCTCCTTTTTAGACATTTTCTTGTCGTCGGCCAATTTTTTCATAATTTCTCTTGTCACTGCCTCTTCTCTCTTTACGGCAACTCTAACAAAAAAAAAAAAAAAAGGCAACCGATTCTTAAATCAACTATGCTAATCACTAAATTTACGAATACTTATTTGGTAATGAGTGAAACAAAACTTTTCTACAAACAAAGAACTACTAGTGTTGGGCCTCTTGTCAATTTGTATTGTGTTGTAATTTTAATTTCTATGCAAGTTACTTCTGTGTAAACTTGACAATACCAAGGTGTGCATTTTGCAAGATTAAAGGTGAGAAAACACTCGTGAAACTGAGACCCTATATTATTTGACATATCACGCTGACAAAATATTAAGTTTTTATTTATGCTAGTAGTAGTTCCTTGGCACAAAACCTTTGCATAACCCTCTCCACAGACTATTGTGCCTGGCACACACATTTGTAAAATGTAAGTGACTCATACAACATGGAATTCATATAAAACAGAAAAATCAACAGTGTTATGGGGGGTTGACTGTAATCAGTTTCCATTTTTGGGATAAAATTTTACTTCAAAATTGTGCTGCTGTTCCCTTAATGTGCATATTACATATGTTTAGTAATAAATTTTGTGTATGAAAAGAAGTTGTAAAACATCCTTTACACTTCTTTAACAGATGAATTATGGCACTCACCTTGCCAGATAGAAGAGTTCAACATGTAATGCTCGGTGCCTAAATAGTTTACGACGAGCTCCTCTTACCCTCTCATTGAGAGGCCGAAAGTTCCGCTGTGAAATCAGGATGGGGGTAACAAATCAATTGATTTGTTACCCCCATCCTGAAAAAATTGTTACCCCTATTGAAAAAAAGTTGTTTACATGTTATTGCAGCAGCAGTACACAGACATCATCAAAATTACATGCTGACTTGTGGGGTATGTCTAAAGTTCTTGCATTTTTATCCATACAAGATATCCTGTGGTCAAGAAATGAGTTTGGTGATTACAATAGGCAGAAAACATTTTCCATGTCATTTGTAGCTTGGATGATAGTTTATGTGAACACTTGCAACTGTCTGACAAATTTGTTGGTGAATGTGTGGATTTTTGTGAAGGGTTGAGAGGTGTAATGTCTTTGTCCTTGTTTTTTGAAGGAAACTCTAACAGAATATGTCACTGGCCCAGATACAATGCTGCTAGATATGGAGATATGTGCATTAAATGTCAATACGCATACAAGCCTTATGCCCAGATGTTTGTTGCAAGGAGAGCAATTGACTGATCATTTTTAATGTCACGCTGCCACGATCGCTAGATACAAACCCGCATGACTTTCGATTATGGGCTAACTGAAAAAACTCATTTATCGAGGTAACGTTCCCAACCTAATCCGGACAAGCATCTCGCACGTGCAACAATTCCATGCAGTGAATGTAATTTTTAGAGTATGGAAATGGAGGACATATATCTTTGTTTCTTTTCAATTACAGATATAAAATTATTGCACTTTGATGCAATTGCATAACTCTTGAAATTTGTTAGAAAATACACATAATATAATATGCTCATTAAAGAGATATAGGGCAAAGTTGATATTGCTGCTAACAGCTGAATATTTGGTAAAATTTATTCCTGAAAATCAAAACTGAATACTCGGGCAGTACATATACCAAATTCGTTGAGAATTACCCAATAGTTGTTTCTACAGAGAGCTCTGAACAACTACTATTTAATTATAATCAAGCAAGTTTTCACTCATTTTTGTGATCAATTTTTGAACTCTTCCAATCTTGTGACGTTAAAGAATTAGTTGAAATGAAATTTTTAAGCGGAAATTTTATCTCGTTTCTTCTGCCTTCGAGCACGAGACAATTGTATATATTTTAACATAGGCAGTTGTGTCACATTTGAGACATATTGGGGTTGTCGTTTTTGAACCGGATTACCACGGTCGATAAAAAATTTCACAAGCTTCCGAGCAGTTTTTATTTTTTTTCTAGCTCTGCAATATTAGAAAAACATTTGCATGCAATTTCACTTATGATAGGCCTTTCCCATTTTTCTTGCTCTCTCAAATCATCTATTGGAGATATTAATTATCCAAGGTCCAGAAAAATCGAGTTAAAATAATTTCAAGTCCTATTATTGCGAGCAGAAATGGGGACAGTCGCAATGTTAATCTATCAACTTAGCAGACACAACAGTATTAAATATATAAAGCTTTCTACTATATTGATATATTTATATCTTTTCATATTGATGGATATCAAAAGACAATTCGAGCAAGATATGTTTCACAATCAAGTAGTCTGACTTTGATGTATGACCAATTCCAGGACTTGCATCATAAAATAAAAAACAATAGTGATAATGTGATATGGTTTCCAATGCCACACGTAATAAAATACTTTTAATTCATTAAAAGATTTGTGAAGACACAGAAAGAAAACCACATTCTAAGCTACTGAAAACCATGCTGAGAGAGAGTTGTAATTTTTGCTTGAAATCCATTTTATTTAAATTTCTTAATTCCTTATTAGTATTGTTATAAAACCAAGATTAAAATGCTTATCTGGATCGAGAAGCTCTGCAACAAGTTTTGGCTTTCGGTTCTTTTCGACGTGACGAAAACCCAAGTTAAGGCAAAGCAAATTTTCCAAACGTTATACGGAGCAAGTTTATTGCTCTTTACAATATTACACTTAATTATTGTACCCAGCGACCGCACCCGATTATTTTTAATTTCAAACAATTTTTAGATCAACGGAGAACACCAAATAAAAAATTACACAAAGCCATAAAAACCAACATATTTAAAACTGGTTTGCAGTTTAATAAAACAAAGATACTACTATTATGTTTATAAAAATCGACAAACAATACGGCCAAATTTTTTAATCGGACTATAATAAAGCTAATTAATTACAAAAATATTGTGTAATTTGGACTTCTTGTATTAAACGAGTACAGTGAGCAAAGTCAAGTCAGTCTAAATTAACTGGTCCAGCTAACAGGCATTTTAGATTAAAACCAGTTTCAGATCAATCTTTTCTAATTACAGTAGAGTCCCGATAACTCGGGCACACCCTGGCAGGGTGAAAAAACCCCTAGTTAATTTTCATTATAGACAGGCTTTATGCCTCAAAGTATTTTTCTGAGGTCTGTCTTATCAGGTAAATTACTGTACACTGTGTATTCATTAATTTTTATTTTCATGTAGTAAAGGCCTTCATAAAGTACATACTTTTCCTTTGTTTAAGGGTACTTGGGCAGTTTATTCTCTGTTGTATTCTCAAGTAAACAATACATACAAGTACAGTACAATATTTTCTAAGGAAACACTCGTACTTATTCTTTTTTAGCCCCATTCCCGATAACCCGGCATTTTCACAGACTCGGCCACCCTTCGGTCCACATTAGGCCGAGTTTTTGGGACTCTACTGTATTAAACTTAATAAAAGACTGCAAGTTAACTGCCTACCTTTAGTCTGAATTACATTGTGCTATAATACAGCTGCTAATTATTTACAAAATTCCGCTTTATCACTTAATACTGTGTCTCAAATCTGGTTTATATGAAATTATAAAAGAATTTGGAATTAATAAAAACTGATAAACGGATACACACTGATGATTATGCAGAACTTCCAACATACAACAGAAAGAGAATTAGAAAAAAAAAAGAACAAACTATTTAAATTAAAAGTGATTGATAAGCAATTCAAGAATTTTATTTCAAAATTAAGGAAATGATAGAATCCCAAATTTGAACTACAGGTTAAAAGGTCAAAGATTGGACAGAGGTCTGGGTAGCGTAACTGGCAATACGTCTGCACGGTAAGCAGAAACTGTGGATTTGAGTCCCGCTCCGATTTAACAAGAGATTGCAAGACGGTAACCAGGCAGCCTGCTTCCTACCAAATTGCTTAATTATTTACTCTTATAGTTCTTTGCTTGCTCATTTGGTACCAGTTAAAGACCCACAAACCAGGAAACAACATAAAAACTAGTGGTGGACTTATAAGAATTTCTTAACAAAAATTGAATGTGTATGTTTCTAATGTGTTTTTTCCCCTATCAAAAATATGTACAATTTACCAAACAGGTTAAAAAAAAATGTAAAATACTATTCTTTCTGTTTGGCTAATTTAAACATAATTATTTATACATTAATACATGATAGGATAGTATTTCCCTAAGATTTTTTTAATTACTTCTACATGCAAATTCTATTACATCTAAAGTTAGTAATTCCTTTTATATGTAAAACAAAGGAATAAGTACGTGTACTGTTGTTGGTCCAAAACAGGCAGAATTAACAGTTTATTTTTTCCAGCCTGTGGGCACTAGGGGCTTTTTTAATCGCACCTGTCATGGGTTTGGCTGGGTCCTTGACGAGATCCGACTGCCCACAGAAAATTCCCAGAGACACTTGTCAGATTCCTTTCCGGAATCCCGGAAAGAACAATAAGGTCAATGCCTTAACTGCTTCAATCATACGGTTGAATAAGCAATATTAGTTAATGGTTTTTTTCTTTCTTTAAATCTAAATCTATCGAAAATGCTTTAAAATTCTGTCAATGTTAATAAAGAAAAACTGTTATCGATAGTTAATAATCTGAAATTGAACAATAATACAGTAGAAGTATAAAAAGATCAATAATTGTACCATAGAATTTAAAGGCTGTTTTGGAAAAATATACACACACATTTCAGAATTATAATGTTGAAATTGTCCCAGTTTCTAATAAATTGATTACTACTGGACAAAACAATTATTCTTCTAAAGAGAACAGACTGATATATTTTTAAAATAAATAAAAAATTTTTATAAAATGGACAATTTTAATAAGAGAAAGATGTTTGTAAGGAATTGAACCCAAATTCTAAGTGTAATATTCTTTATACATTTCATTTACCTTTGCTTCTTGACCTAATAATATTACGACAATATTTCATATGTAGTGTAAAACAAGTAAAGCTTTACATCTTAGGTGTGTTCGAGTGGCTTTCGAGCGTTTTAATGCCGCAAAATTTGTGGATGGCGGAATGTACAAATGACATATTTTAATTGTAAGGGAAAATTTTAGTTATAAAATAAAGACTATAAACTTTT